AGTGCAGAGAGGAATATAGTTCTGTTACTTCACTTTTAAATGCTGGTAGTCTGAAAGTTCTATTTACTCTTATAATTGTCACTCATTTTCTTTCCTCTTTCTCTTTTTTAACTTTTTTTACAAAAAAAAAAAATCTAAGATTTGTAAAGAAACACGCCAAATTGGCATGCAGGCTGAGTTTGAGGAAAAGTAGGGCAAGCTGAGAGGAAACCAATGGATGACCCAGAAGAAATTTTACTTGCATTAATTTTTCTACTTTTGCTCTTCTTTCTTACTTTTTTTTTTAGAGTTCATATTTGAACATGGCTAAGAACATAATCATGACACAATAGAGTTTGTAAAGGGAAGAAAAAAAAAGGTAAAGCATCAAACCCAAATGCCAACATTCCAGATTGAATAAAATTCTACAAATTCTATGAGTGGTCCATCCTTAGGTTTAAAATTACTATATTTTTCCTTTGACAAAACTAAAGCCGTACCCTTTGAACATATCTTCTCATTTTATATTCCTGTCAGATGAAAAGCCATCATAAAATCTGAGATAGGGAGATATTTAAAATCATCCTCAAATGACAAAGAATCTTCATTTTACTGAAATGGACAGCCTGACACAGAGGTGCAGCACTTGTGGGAGAACACAGACTACCAGTGGAAGGTACCACAGGACGAGGCACCAGCCTTCAGCGCTTCCCACCAGATCCGCCCCCATCCTCTACTGAAGTTTTGAAATTTACCTTTTTTTCATCTTTCCTCAAAACTCCATAATTGTGACCTTTCAATCATTTTCATTGTCTTTCAACTAATCTCCAAGATTTCAACATGGCAAAAGATAATGGGATTTTCAAGATAACATAAAACAATCAGTTCATTTACTCAGGGTGGCATAAAAATTTCCAGCTTTTTAACTCTACTATTTTTCTATTCTCCTAGTAAAAATGATTCTTTGCTTCTATTTTCTGACTTAAGAACAAATTCTCATACATATTTCCGGTTATGCTCTTTTCCTACTCTTTTTCATGTGCTAAAGATCGAATTGCTAAGATTTCTGCAGCCTGACACTGAATCGTTTCCATACCCAATCCTGCTTGCTGCCTACTGCCTGTCATCCATCCATCAATTCAAAAATGAATTATGTAGGAATGTATTTCACAGTCTTGGCAGGACAAATTTTTTAAAGACTCTGATTGATTTTACAACACTCACTGAATTGCTAGAGATCTAATTTGACAAAAAAATCAAGACTAAGGAGTAATTATTGGAAAGCAAGAAAAAAATAGGTTTCATTCTTAAGGTGCACAGAAAATGTCCAAAATAAAACAGCAGTAACTGAAATACTGATTTTTTTCTTATTATTCTTTGAAATTAAATAAATCTATGATACACTTTTGAGCTCTGTTACTTGAAGTGAGGTGAGGGAGGAAAAGATACAAAATATAGACTTAATCATGGTGACTAGACTTTCATTGGAAAATAAAATCAATATATCTGCAATAAAATCACTATTATACTCAATATATAACCATGAATTATCATGTTCTTTTTCGTGAGAAGTAATAATTATATGCATATGGAAGGAATCTTACAATCTTAAAATTTATTCATCCTCCTGAGCCTTTGATATCTGAGGTAGAAAACTGGGAAAATATAAGGTTAATTTAACATAAAATAGTAAAATTTAAGAAGCACACACAGGAACTGATAACACCTTATTGTTCAACAGTAGTCTGCAAGAAAAAGAGGAGTTTGGGCTATTCACTATTCATTGCCTAGAAAAATTTTATCTTTCCCTTAAGAAAACATTGCCTAAGAACACACAGAAAATAATCCTAAATAAAACAGAAAATGTAAATTCTTTTCAAAACAAAATTATTCTTGGTCAGGAAGAATTCCTTAGTCCCATTTAGTAGCTATTGGAATTTATAACTGAAAATTTAGGAAGCATTCATTGTCTGTTTCCAAATGTTTGCCACCATGTAGAGGAAAACATACATGTTAGGAGACAGAATTTCTTTCATTAAAATTTGTCACAAGAGGATCACTTCCATATTCTTAAATTTCTTAACTGGAAGAATTTTTGCTGAGCTGATTGGTATAAAGTAAATTTCCCCCACTGGGTTGATTTTGAGTAATAGAAATTTAAGTATGGGAAATAATCGTAGACTATTGTAAGAACTAATTTTAGTCTTCTGTAAGTTGTAGAGATCTGGAAGGCCAGTCAGACATGGATATTAAAAGTACAGTGTAACTTCAGCTTCAGACTCTGGTCAGGTGTGGACTGGTCAGGTTAGTGTGAGGGCTTGAAGGCTGTCCCATATCTAAGAACAAAACAGGACTGACCTGGCACGCCTCAGATATTCAGACAAGAGCAAAGCAGCTTTGACTCCATGTGACTACTGAGGTTGACACTCTCCAGAAAGGGAAGCCCACTCAACAGTGGCAGGGGCAGACAAGGGAATGTATGTTTTACAAAATTTTACAAAGTTAGGCAAGGTGCCTGGGGAAATCCAGTAGACACTTATGTAAGAATTAAGCAGTACCATTGAGCACTTAGATAACTCTAATAGGTCCCAAGAAGCAGAGGATGAAAAATGGGAAAAGGAAAATATAACCTATTCTCTTTCAAAACAGAAACAGAAAGAGCCAAATAAAATTGCCTTAGTTTGTCTCCTGGCATTTGCAGAAAAGAACATGGTAGAAGACACTATCAAAAGCTACCAATTTGTGGGTCACAATTCATTCAGTTTCTTAATTGTCTTTGACTCACTTTTAATCTAGATGTATATGATACAAATGGCTGATGTTGCTTTACAGCACTGAATCTTGCTGTTAAATATATAGAACATTTACAAAAAGATTCATATCTACAGAGGAGTGGAAAATATTGTCAGGCAATGATGAAAGAGTCTAACAGAGAGGAAGGTGGGAAACATCCCCCTTCCTGACACAAGCTTCATCTTTACACAAAGCCCCACAGACTTCAAAGGAAGATCTGTGCCCAAAATAATAGCTAAGTGTGCAGTAAAGACTGAATAGCAGGGCCATTGTGAATAGCATTACCCCCCCCAAAAATAGTATATAATACCTGAAGACACTGATGGAAAATTGACAAACTACTCAAAACTGAAAACAGGATAACTGAAATGTTGTTACAGATGCAAAAAGAATCAATTCCTAACACTATAACCTTTAACAAAATGGAAGAAAGATTTGGGACAATTCACCAAAATGAACTTTTCTTTAAAAATACCAATTCCGTGACTTTAATATACAATCTTCTATGTAGAGGTACAAGATCCCAACAATGAATGTAACTGTACTGTATCCCTAAAAAGTACCAATAAACTCAATTAAAGCTGAAAAAAATATACAATTTTCTGTGACCCTAATTCTCAGATTACAGTTGGATCTTGTTAGTATAATTGGACAGAGAAAGAAACATTATTGGTCTCAATTTGTACAGATATACCACATGATAGGGTTCATTTCTAATAAGAGATGAGGGAAATAAGATATAAAATGTATGGTATATACCAAAATATTTAAAGATTTTTCCATGCCAGAGTATTGAGTAAACAGCTCTGGCATTACTAAGACATTTGAGGGTCATATCTATAAAACATAGAGTAATTAATCTCTCACATAGGAAAGAAATCAAATTTCAAGCCAGATACCATGTCACAAACCTGTGGTACCAGTTACACTGGAGGATGAGACCAGTGGATTGTTTGAGCTCAGGAGTTTGGAGCCAGCCTGAACAGCAATGTGAAAACCCATCTCAAAAAAAAAATCCTTATATTCAAATTTTGAAGAAACTGAATTATTGTTGACAATTGTTGACAATTGTGTACATCTTTTATGAAATCACATTTTGACTGTCTTAGAAAATATAATCAGATACTAAACCAATCATGCACTTTCATCACATTTGGTATTACATAATCTATACACAGAAAAATTTAAGTTGATGGTCTGAATCAAATTTAGCTTTTTCCCACAGAGGATCTTTGAAAATTCAATCCCAAATAACAACATTTATGCAAGGCCTGCTATATTCCTAGCTTTAACTGTGGGGAAAGTGGTTCTTCAGTGGGTGAAGCCTGGATGCAGAGACACCTGTAATGAGCTCAGATATTCCTCAGAAGAGCACAAGGCAGAGAATGATGAAAACTAATTCAAAGAATGCAACAGAGAAATTAACTTCTTCAAGTGTGGACAGAGAGTGCTTTTGAAGGTGAAAGGCAAGTTTCAAGAAATGGTGGCCAAGATCAATTCAGGGAAAAGGAGAGAGAGAGAGAGAGAGAGAGAGAGAGACAGACAGACAGACAGACAGACAGACAGAGAGATCAGTAGCAAGGGTACTGTGCCCAGAATGTGGATGGCTTGAGATAATAATCATCTTATTGGATGAAAACCCTTACTCATTATGCTAAACACTTTGAATTATGTTCAATTATCTACAGAGAATTACCGATTTCTTTTAGCAGAGTCTAAAAGCTAACTAATTTTAGGGAAATAGTCTTAGCAATAGGTTTATGAGATAATTGAGGAGGAGAAAGCTGAATAGTTTAACTTGTATCATAGTTGTAGAAACTGGTGATAAAAATGAACTAGACCAGTGTCTATGAGGAAGAAAAGGAAAGAATGAAAGCAAAAAGCACTGCAGGCAGAAAAGCAGTGACTCCTAGGCTTTAAGGGGAAAAGGGAGAGGAACTGGAGGACTCTACCGTCCCCAGGGACAAGAAATATAGTCTGTGATGAACAATGGTGGCAGTGCACATAAGTATTTGGGATTTTTGTCTCATTTCATTTTACAGTCAGTCTCTAGCAAACAATATTCAATCTTTGAAGTCTACAAATTAAGTCACAAAAGCCTTGCTATGTTGAAAAATCTATTTTTTTCTTTATTTCACACTACAGAAGCCATTGCAAATAGAAAGTAAGTACCAAGATATTGCAGCTTTTCAAGAATAATAATTTTGAAAGCCAGGCTAGATACATACCTTGAACTCAGCTAGAGAACTGAGGGTCTGATGATCATTTTCAGACCAATGTCCCATCAAGGAATCTGACTTGAGAATCCAAAAAGAGCCATGATATCACGAAATTCATGCTTCAGTTGCATCCATTCCTGTATCAGGCAACCCTCGATGATCGCTTTGAAGTCATAATCAGCAAGAAAAGCTTAAATAGTGATGGGTGGGCAATGGGAAGTTTGTATTTAAAAAACTATTGAACAGTAATGGTTTGGAATAGTAAAATTTAAAATATAGGTAAAAACTATACTAAACGGAAAATGAAATTAATTAATATTGTCAATACATATTAAAGAAGCCAGTGTGGGTAAAACATGACAGACAGCTTTTACAGGTCATCAAAAAACTAGCAAAAAACATTGGCCTTGTCCTTCTGATAAGTGTTTTAAAAATACACTTAAATATGATCCTGTTGAGCTCTTTTTCAATTGTATCTCTGATTCCGAGCACTTGTAAACACATCTTTAAAGAGCCTTAATGATTCTTCATTTTATCGTTACAGGGGCCAAAGTAGAAAGACAATAAAGCCCTTGGAGTTTGAGTGCCTGAATTAAGATCTGTATGAGGGATAATCATGAGTATTTTTAAGTATTCACATAGGTCTGGATGTGAGGGGGAACTGCAGTGTCCCCACGGACTGGGCTGTTCCAATTCTAGGGTTATCAGTTCAAGTGACAGAATAACAGGAGAGAACAAACCCAGTAATATCCAGAAAACAGAGCACGTTGGCAGCTGACTGGGAAATCACATGGGCTAAAGTGCGAAGGGCGGTGCAGAGAAGACAGGGGAATAAGACAACGCGGGGGTGAGTTCTGCAACAAATTCTAGGAATGCTCCCTTCCTTTCTGTGTCCACGTTTTTCTTTCACACATACTACATTATAAGGTTTGGCCAAAAAACCTGTTCTTCAACCTCAGCCCTCAAGTGGTGTTACAGATCTAGTCTGGATATCAAGGGACAGCAGCACTGCTGATATCTCTTGTTCACGCCCTGCTCTGATAGGCACCTATAATAATTAACAGCATCAAATCTAAGAGCAACGCAAGACCAACCCTCACATTTGGCTCAAATCTTCTACACAGGGTTTTACCTTCACACAAGTTTAGTGAAGGTCAAATATGCCTGGTGGCTGAGCACTCTGGAGAACTTCACTAGGAAGGGTGTGGCTTTACTCATCCGCCAAGGGTCCTGAAGATGTGCAGTTTCATTGTTCCTGCTTTTGTGAAGCTCAGCCTGGCACCAGCGCCCCCTCACTTCCTTTCCCAATCAAAAGGCACTTCTCAAGATCTCCTGGACAAAGGCTGCTAACTACCCAAGGAGAACCATTTTATGAACACCTTTTCAAGTAACTCCTAGCAATTGTCCCCAGTGGAGGTTTATGTCTTGGATCCTACTTCTGCAGGAGCCACCATCACCCCTGCTCATTATGTTGGCTCCATGCAGAAAGCTGCCTTCTTTTAAGCCTAATTCAACAGTTGCATTTCCTGCACATTCATTGAGCACCTACTACATACTATATATAAAACTGTGATGAGATAAAGATCTGAGCTGTGGAAGAATGTGCCTGAGATGAAAATATTCAGAGGCCGATTGCATTTCTCTCTCTCTCTTTTAAGTTAGTACATGTTTGCAAAACATAGAGCTTACAGTCATCTTGGGGAGTGGGTACACGTACATAACACAGCTTGATTCTTTTGTTTTTAATCCTCATCCCATTCCCTCCTGTCTCCCACCCTCCTCCTCTAAGTTCCATTTCCTCATTTTTCACTCTTGTTGATATTATTAATCTTATCTCATTTTATAACATATAATGTTTACATTCGTTGAGGTTATTAAGTTCCTGTACACAGTATATCTTTATTCTATTTATTTTCTCTTCTCCTCCTCCTCTCCTCTCCGCCATATTCTCTTGGAGCCCATCACATTTGCAAGAAGCCCCTTTCTGCTTCTACCCACCCTTCGCTATGCTCTTTGTTTGTACTTTGCTTTACCCAAATGAGAGACATGATATGGTATTTAAAGCTTGTGCCTGATTTATTTCATTCAACATTATGTTTTCCAGGTGTATCTATTTTACCTAGAAATGCCTCAAATTTGTACTTCTTTATAGCTGTGTAGTATCCCATTATGTATAGATACCACAATTTCTTTATTCCATCATCTGTTGATGGTGTACAGGCTGTTTCAAGGATTAGCTATTATGAATCATGTTGCTACACATTAGTATGTTGATTGTGCCCCATAAGGACGATGTGTAACCAAGCTATTGGTAATAGCTGAAATTATCTCTCTGTGTCTTAATTTTCGCATCTATATTAAAATAACCCTAACCTCATAGGGTTTTTGTGAAAATTAAAGTGCTGTGGAAGCAGCTAACACAATAGTAAGCACTCAATAAATACTGGCAAAAATATCTAAGAACTCCTGATCCGCAGAGCACTGACATGGCCTTTGGATTCTGGATCTGAAGTGGCAGAACAGAATTTGATTTAGGAAGAAAGACATTTTTTTTCTCCACTTTAGATCAAAGCATACAAAATCAGAATTCATGCCACACTGACTTACATTTTCCAAAATACTGAAAGACCACTAAATGTATACCTTCTACCCCACTTCCCCATTCTTCTTCCTCTTCTTCGTGGTTTTCACTGGGTGCGGCAAGTTGTCTGCATATTATATATGACTGGCCAACCACAAAAAGCTAAGGAAATTCGTTGTATCTAATGTTTGTTCAGCCTTTCCCAGAATGTAAAGAAACTGGACATTGTTTAGTATGTCAAAGGAGCCCTGGTCTTTCCTTTCGTTTACCCATTTAAATTCTATAGGATAGGACTGGTCACTCAAAAAAGATTTAGTAGGATAATTTATCTTCCTCAAAGGGTTCCTTGTTCTAAAAAGTTTGCAAACACGTGATCTTATCTATCTTAAAGTAAAAAGAGTTGGAATAGTCTCTGGGAAATGGAAAAGGAAGACTGACCCATGCAATCGCATTATACTAGAATATAACCGTAATCTTTCCATAGCTGATAATGAGTTATCTTAAATTCTATGGATTTCAGGGCAATGGCATCATCTTTCTGCTTGTAAACTCAAATGAGTTATGAACAGTTCCTCTCTGACTCAGGACTCCTATTGTTATTTCCTGTTTGGTTAACTTACCTAAGTATCCTAGAAACAGATGAAGTATTATTTCGGCTCGTTAAGGGTGGCTAGATTTGATTTTTTTTTTTTTCTCGCTCATTCTGAAGCAAGTGTTTTGCCTCATGCAAACGTCCGGCTTAAAAGATGAATACTAGCTACTCAAACCGGAAAACTCTGTATCTCCACAATGATTTAAGAAAAAAAAATCTTTCCAAAGAATGGAGAAATACTGTTAAATGTGCTCAAGAAACAGCTGTATGAGTGTTGTTATTTCACCTACTTTAAGTCCCTCTTGTTATAAACTAGGGCAAGATTAAGTAAACCAAGCAATGACTAAATAACAAAATCTCACTGATTCCGTCTCTATGGACAAATGTGGATGTAAATTGTAATGACTATGAAGAATAGACTGTACAAATTGTGTGCATAAAATTCTCAGTGATACATTGGCCTGCATTGTAGAGGTGCATAAGGAGCCCTTCATTAGTTCTATATAAAGTTCTTGAAGGGGGAAAAATCAGCTGCAAGTACTTTGTGACAGAACCTCTAAAAGCTGATTGAAATCACTATCAAACAAATTGTACACAAGATTTTTTTTATACTAGATAGTCAGCCCAAGGTCCTCCAGATTATTTCCCTTCCTTTCCCTTCCTTTTGTAAAAGGAAACCATTCTCAGGTAACAATGAGCCAATGACTTTGGGATACCTTTGAAGTGACTTTTAATTATAAGTCATCATCATAAGAACTGCTTTAAAGGGAAGGCCACTCAGGTTGGCACTACTTCAAAACAACAAGAAATAAAATCCTACAAACCCAGAGCCTGTATCGGAACACACCATTCTCAGCCTGGAATGTCAAATCTCCTTCCCCATGAAAGTGGCTTTTCAATGCTTTGATCAGAAACAACAGGACTCCTACTCTAATTTTATTCCCTCTAAGCAAGGAATTTCTACACTTTATAACCCATCTGCCAAAGCACACACATTTGTCTACACAGCCTCTTACCCAGGGTAGAGAATAAAGATTTAAATTTGTTTCCTATACATTCTTTATTACTGTTCTGCATGCATGGGCTATATATGCTTCAGTGTCTAGAACCTGGAATGCAATGGAGATTCTAAGAGTTTTTAACTCACTTTCAGTAATGAAGTGGGCCTACACAATGGAAATGTACTCATACATGAAAGCTCTGCCTATTCAGGATCTAAACAACTGCAGGATTAGGATAAGCAATTCTAATTTTGCAACAAAGAGAAACAAGTAAAAAGTATTTGAATCATAAGAAGAGGGTTTTTTTTCCCTAATAAAACTTCTAGATCAAATCAAAAGGTTAGTATATATGCAGGGTTACAGAGGGATTGGTGATGCTAGTAATTTTGATCCAGTGTTCCAAGTACTTCTCTCCTGTCTTCAGCAGGGGTGGTTTCAACTATTGTATTTTAGATTATGTTTTTACTAAACCCATAACAACCATCAGCCTCAGGCAGTACAAAAAACAAACAAACAAACAAAAAAAAACACACAACAGAATATCTGTACCCAGTTACTCTTCTACTGCACAATGCCATGGTCAGGCCTCCTGCCTTGTAGATGACTTGGTAATCTATCACACTCTTTCTCCTCCAATGGGCCCTCCTGGCCCAGGGACCCTTTGCTTGCCTTGAAAGCTGCAATAACTACCAGCGCCATTGAATCCAACTCACCGTTCCAGCCAAGTAGCTGCCACTGGTTTTAAATGAGCTGGGCCTCAGTGACTTCAACTACAAAATGAAATACTTTTTTCAGGATTGCTCTGAAGACATAAAAGATGCCTAAGACTGTGCCTAGTGTATAGTCATTCCAAAAAAGGCCTGAATAGCAATAGTGGTACCAGGAACAGTAGTAATATTAATAAATATATTTGGGATGCTACTAGAACAATAAAGAGAAGGAGGAAATAAGTGGAATCCTGGGATGTTACATTATAAGTTGGTGAAACT